TCCCTTTTCATTTTGTTTAATAGCGCCGTACAGTGTAATTAAATAAAATAATTATGACTTTGATCTGTGCCACTGCAGTAAATCAGACATGAGAGAAAAACAAATGTAATTACATATTAACAGTTTAATTGTTAAATTGACATCATTAAATGCTGTTGAAGATAACTTTTAAAAAGTGATTTAATCATGACTTTTGGTATTTTGCTGCACCAGTGTGCTTGTTTACTAATGTACATATGTATTTGTTTACATACCGCCTTGTTTCTTTATTGATTTGTATTTGGAAACATCTAGATTTTTCTTACTGGTGTAACTATGTCCATGTATGGCAGCTGTTTAACGTGTCATTGTGGAATAAAGAAAATAATAAAAAGGCTAAGAAAATTTGTATTACTATAACAGGACCTTTTCTTTTTGTAAATGGTAATTCTATTGTAATTATACCATGTTAAAGATTGTTGTCTGATATCAACAAACGGCTTTTCAAGTCAATACCATCATTGCATATTAACTTTAACTTGTCCATTGTTGTGTAGTTAAACTCTTACACACCAACATACTGAATGATTTTACACAAATGTCAAGTCAGCGATTTGTATGTATTTTCACACATAATGGAAAACAATTAATAGAAGACAAATGTGTCCTTTGTATGTTTTTCAGTTGCTCGTGATGGAACATAAAAACCTGTTTACTGTCCCCATTAGTTTGTGTATTTTAACTAACATGCTGCTATGTTGACCTGGGCATAATAACATTTTCTCATTTTTATTAGAATGGTTGGTTTTGAGGTAAACGTTTTGTTTGGAAGCCTGTTTCAGGTCAAATCATTTTAAACTCTGCCCTGAATTTTGCAGTCATTTTGTTTGTGTGACCAAACAAAAGTTTTCCAAACTGATGAAAACTTTAAATGAATTGTTTTCTACCTCGACCCAACTTGACAGTGAGTCGAACTCTAAACTAAAATTGCTTACATTTTTTCCTGTAATAAACTGCATATAACAGTATTTTCTATACATTTTCAGACGTGTGATTTACCTGATTTTACATCCTGTTAATTTCAGCATGTATCCCTGCAGTGTGTCCACGGTGCAGTCTCATGGCGGGGCCAGATCAGAGGGAATATCTGCTGCTCAGGAGCAACAGTCCCCACGAGAGAACCGCTGGCCACTAGGTGTCACAGTGGCTGTTTGTAAAAGATGAGCCGGTGCCTGCTCTCTGCTGTGTGACTGTAGGCTGCACGAAATGTACAGCCGAATGTGCATTTGTCTACCAAATCTAAACAGTCCCAGAGTAACCCTATACAACAGCTTGTCAACATAAACAGCATATGTGCCGCAATAAATGACTGTCAAGACATTTTTTGTATGAATGATGCTGGATTTAAGAGTCATTAGCTGGGAGAAAACATCACTTACACTGGATGCAAAGATATTTTCAATATTTTTGATTGTAAAAAAAAATTATATATTTTGACAATTTTAAGCATTTTGGATGGCTGCTGTTATAATATAAGACAGCATCATTTCCTGTGTGCAGGATGATGGAAGATCTCGTACTGTGAAATGAGCCTATTATATTAAATCTGACATCTGACTTTATGTACCCATGAGCGAATGTGGCTCATTTTGATGGTGTGAAACTGGCCACGGAGCAATACTGTACATTACATTATTCCTCAAAGTACACACAGGGGAAGAGATCTGCTAATGTCTTTTTGCTACTTTTCTGCATTAAAAAATACAGCGAATGTGAATTTCTGGAGGTAGTTTCTTTTGTTCCCCATACAAAGCAATTTGTCTTCAGTTAGAATTTTGTATTTTTTTTTCACCAGTTTTGATGCAGAACTCAAGGTTGAGTGTGGTGATTATTCACTATATTGCATTAGTATATCTAGATGTATTTATGTCAGTCACATGATAACAGAAACATTAAAATAAATGATCTCAAGGAGGCATTGTTCCACAAGTTGTTGCGGCAGCTTTGAGTCTTGATGAAAGTTGTTCTGTTTCGCACTGAGTCATAATATCTTCTTCTTCTTCTTCTTCTTCTTCTTCTTCTTCTTCTTCTTCTTCTTCTTCTTCTTATTATTATTATTATTACTACTATTATTATTATAGCTTGGCTGGGAGTAATTCTGGTGGCTTGGCTATCCATTATATATGGTCACTGTTTCCATGCTCATCAGTCCTTCAGCAATCACTGTTGCCGTCATTATTCTGGAAGAGTGAACTCTCATCAGGAAAGAAATGCTTCACTGTAGGACAAATGTCACCACTCAGTATGACTTTGAAGTGACTTGCACTTACAATGGCAATACAAGGACTGAAAAGAGATTCACTAGACCAAATCCACACCTGTAAGAAAGAGCCGAGCAGCCAGAACTCTGCACAAAGACGAGGTGGGGTCCTTGTCTCCTTTTTCTTTTTAACGCTCTTTATGTAAGCACCACTAGTTAAGCTTTTCAGAACTATTCATCAAACTGTCTCATTTTTTCCCTGCTTCTCAGTACATTACTGTCATTTTGTTTCACATTACCTGTGAAGATGAAATTTACTATTTGAGCAGATTTTTCCAGATGCAGGTTTAAACACTGGAAACTGGATCACAGGATCTGTTTGTGTATCATGTTTGAAACTGACTGTCAACACATCAACATGCATTGTCAGTGTATCAATCCACAAAGTTAGATTAGGTAACAATCTGATTAGTGGTGGACATATTATTTTAACCTTTTACTTCAGTTCAAGTAGTGACACTGTCAAAGTACTCCAGTACAACAAACAGTACTGCTTTCAAAATCTTCCTTAAGCAAAAATATAGAAGAAAGTATCATCAGCAAAATACGCTTATAATTCAAAAGACACAACGTAAGTATAATATTAATACATTTTTAACTGTTGCAAATGTTGTAGCTCACTGTCTGCACTGTTTGACGTTCTTGTACTAAACTTGACTATTCGTTGAAGTACTTGTATGCGACCACATTCCAGGGAGAAACATTATTTTTACCTCAGTATATTTCCTGGAATTGTTTCTGTGAGAATTTACACACAAAACACATGATCATCACTAAATTATTGCATCGTAAAAACTTAAACTGTATTACTTTTGCAACAGCTTTTGCTTGCTGTGATTGTTTCTTCTTTCATTTTGGCAATTAAAGTCATTCTCTGGTTGTTGATTTAACTTTTTAAAAACTCATCGCTTTCTATCAGATTACATATTTAAATGTTTGGATTTTTTCCCATGAATACAATCCCTTACCTTCTTAAAGTGGCTTAGATATAACTACACCAGGCCTACAATTATAGTCCTTGAACCTCTCTCCTCTCATCCCTTCCCACTCGTTACAGCTTGAGCACACCAGCTCACTTATGACTCGATCACTGGAAAACTACTACGACACAGAAACTGATTCTCAAAAAGGATAATGGTCCAAAAAGTCCCACTTTACAATGTGACAGGTTTGTTATATATGAAACCCCAGAAGTCTGAATCCATGTTTTTGACACTGTCGATTGTGTGCTGCAGCTTCAAGGTGTAAATATCCAGGACATCTTAATGCACTCAAGATGTATCTTCCAGCATTTAAAAAACACAATAAGGACTTGTTAACAAGGCAGAAAAGACCTTGATTTCCACTTACTAATCACATTGTGACAAGGACAAAGTTAAGCTCTTGCACTGAGCAAAAACAAAGTACATAAAGTGCATAAGTTTATCTGAGGCAAAAATGTGTTGGGCAAATCAAGTGTCTATCCTTCAGAGTTACAACTTTTTTAAGTATAAAATTCCCTCTTTGTGTTACTATCTCTCCACCAAGGAAAGACTGTCCTAGGAACTAGAAATCTGGAACATCACACTAAAAGACTGTAACTGTGAAAACTATTCACTTTAATCGATGAACTCAGATTGCCTCAGAAAATGTGGGCCTTTTGTATTTTCAAGAGAACTCCTCCAATCACTTGCGCTCAAAGTGTTTAGGAAGGGTTCTTTTGATGGTTAATATTGACAGGAAGAATGACTCTAGCAAGAAACAGCCGTTTCCATGTACATTAGGGCTGAACGATTTGGTAAAAATATTCAATTGTGAATTTTCTGAGAAATCTTGCAATTGGAATTGTGATATGATGTTGTTAAGTCACGTTTCAGCTCAATATCCACTGTGTATTAGATGTAAAATATCTAAAGGTGCTTTATTATTTGCAAAAAGGAGGGCAGCATGTATTTGTAAAACCATTAACACGACAGTTTAAACTGAATTAGATGTAGAGCAAAGTGTAGGAGGTGTGGCTGGTAAATAATGACACTGTGCTCATATCAGCCGGCGTCACACATCACACAGTACAGGCCGAGCACAGTCCTAGAAATTCCACTTAAATTAAAGTGAGTTGCAGCGTCGGTGTCATTATTTAATAGCCACACTTCATGTATTCTAAAATGCTGCTTTTGAATTGTACTAATTGCATTGTTTGAAATTACGATTTCCTAATTATTCATCCCAAATGTACATGAAACATTTGAATGCTGATTTTGAATTTTGAATGCTGTTGTTGTTGTTGCTGATTTTATGTTGGTGTTGTGTTGTTTTTTTTCTGGTGTAATTCTATTCTAAAACCCTGAAAATTTGCCAAGCTATACTTTAATATGAAGTAAGTGTACGCAAGACTGCATTCATTTTCTGAAGTTATTCCGTTGATGCTTTAAGCAGACTACATTAGGATGATCATTTGCATTTTAGTTGAGATAAATGTTTGTATTTATGACTTTCACTTGAAATGGAGTGTGAACATGGATGTGAGCAGGCTACTCTGACTGTTAATGTGAGTCTATATAGCAGTTTTATAGTACAAACACAACGGTAAATGAGGAATATACAGCTTGTAGAAGTGTTTCACGGGGAACCACGTTTTACCTCCTTGTGCATTAAGAGAAAACAGCGGAGAACATAAAGCTCCTCAGTCCTCCAACTTCTCTGCTGCTGCTGAAGGAGCACCTGTCGTCCCAACATCCTTTGCGTGTCCAATATGGAAGAACTGGCGGTGGAGGTCCGTGGCTCCAACGGGGCTTATTACAAGGTAAATACCGGCTTATCAACACCGCATCAAACATAAAAGCTCGAAACACGATACGATATGCTAGTTGAAGTCTCCTGGACCACGGCGACGTGTTCCGACTTGCCCAGAACCCACTTAAGTGCTTGTCATTAGCTTACACAAGCGGCGCTAGCAAGCGTTAGCAGGCTAAGCTAGCATCGCTTACTCTTCGCCAACTGTCATTTTATAGCGACATTCTTAAAACCCACCGTCGAAGAAACACGGTCACGTTTGCGATAAGTCGAATATAAAGCCCGTCTGAGGTTGTATTTATTTTTCTTGAGTTCGGTGTCAGCTCCTCCGAGCTAAAAGTTAGCTAACTTGCTAGTTGCCTAACTGTTGACGTCGAAAGATGTGGCTAAAGTAAGTTGTGTGTGCAGCCCACTGTTACTGTACGTCATGTATTCGGTTCTGTAGCGGTCATCAGAGCGGTTCAGGATCAACTCAGCGTTTGTTCATGTTGTTTATTAAAGTGTTTTTTGTTTAGAAGTCACCACCGTTGTTTATGAAAGCGGCTACGAGCTGTTTCTCTGCACAGACTCCGTGCTTATCTGTCGCTGTCTATTATTTGATACTTCATCATGCCCAAGCTATTTTTTCTATGTGAATGTGTGAGCCAGCTGTTCCTTGTCAATCCTGACCAGCTGGCATGTCAGGAGAGGGTCACTGATACCGCAGACTTAAAAGCTATTTCTAGACTGGCTGCCCAAAGTAATACTCCCGTCTCCTTTCCTCCCATCTTTCCTGTGTGTCTCCTCGCCCCTTCTCTCATCTCCTTTTCCTTTACCACCTTTTATTGTGAAGTCTCACCTTCACGCCTCAGATTACTCCTGTACCACTGCATGTTCTCTCTGTTCTTACTGTTCTCTCTGTCTCCCCAACCCTGCTCTCATGACAGACTTAGTTCGCTTTGCCTGGGCTGCATTTTGAACTCTTGAGTTACACGGCTGTGTGATTTTATGACTTTTTAAAAATGTAATGTAACTGACACCTACCTTCACACAAGACTACCAAATGACTTAAATAGCTCGTCTGGAAGTTTGGAATACCTAGGAAGTGTTCAGTTCTGTTTTGTCTTTATAGCTTATCAAGAAAAACTTCTACAGTTAGTCTTTAAGTGTATGTTTGACGTGCTGAAGAGATAGATGACAGATATTTATAATGATCCGGAGGGAAATTCACGCATCCGGTAGCTTGAAAAGAAAGACAAAAACTAGGAATACAGAAAACTATACCTAAATAATGGAAAGTGTGCACAACAGTGTAAATTGTGGTGGTACATATACAACAGAGAGATGCGGTAATTAGTATATGTAAATGCATTCTCGTGGGCTACATCAAACAATTTTTTCACAGTTGAGAGACGTTTTTCATTTAAAAATAGCATAATATCCCAATTACAGTTTCTCAGATCTCTTATGTTTTCTTTCACCAATAATGAAGTTTACCATCACACATGACAAAGCCTAGTGATACATCCTCACATCTGAGAAGCAGGAACCAGAGATTGTTTAGTACATTTGGCCGTTAAGCGACCAATAAATAATAGCTATAACCACAGCTGATTGCTACAGCTATACAGTTATCATCCTTTACATTTTCATTGTAAATACAGTTCGTGTTACATTGTGACAAATAGACACAATAAGTTTTAAAGCCATATTTCAAGTCAAAAAAATCCCCTTCACACCTGAGCACGCTTTTGCACGCCTGCACAAGACAAGCTAAACGGGGACCCAATCATAGAGAAACATCTCCACTTGGCTACTAGATGCCCCTCGACAGGAAACCTTTAAATACAATTTCAGTCACTTGTCTGTGTCTCTGTCTTTCCTGCAGGGCTTGGTCAAAGATATCCACGATGACTCTCTCTCCATTGCCTTTGAGAACAAGTGAGTCTCTGTGTGTCCCGTATTTCAGCTGCTTTCATAAAACATGTCAAGTTCTAAACTTTTAGGCAAATGCCAGGAAAAAAAACCAAACATGTTTTAAGCATTTATTTCAATTTTTTTAGTTGGCAGCCAGAACGCCAGGTGCCCTTCAGTGATGTCAGGTTGCCACCACCTGCTGACGCCAAGAAGGAGATCGGAGAAGGCGAGGAGGTGGAGGTGAGCTGGACACAGATAAAGTCTTCTTTTTGCACTTAAGTTTTCCTCTCTGTCTGTGCCTTATACTGATTCTGTCCTAATCTCCTGTCAGATCTTGTCCAGAGCCAATGAACAAGAACCTTGTGGTTGGTGGTTAGCTAAAGTCCGCATGATGAAAGGAGATGTGAGTATCGTTTGTTAGGAAGAAAAACTTCTATACTGACTACTTACTAACAATATTACATTTTTAGTGATTCTGTTTCAGCAAGTATTTTTTATTTATTATTATTTACCAGTAGCACAGCTATCCACTTACAGTACCTGGAAAATAGCAGAACAGACTGATAAATGCTTATGCAGCTGAATGCTATTTTTGTTATTATTAAAGAGCCAGTTGGAAACCTGCTTTTAACTGTACAATTGCTGTATACAATACGGTAGATTTGGCGTCTATAGGTTTTATTGTACACATCATACCTGTCTGTATTTTCTAGTTCTATGTGATTGAGTATGCAGCCTGTGATGCCACCTACAATGAGATTGTGACCTTTGAGCGTCTGCGTCCAGTCAACACCAACAAGGCCATCACCAAGAACTCCTTTCACAAGTGCACTGTCCCAGTTCCTCAGGATCTACAAGAAGCGTATGTACAGCACCATTACGATAAGAACATTACAGACGGACTGATCTTAAATTCATAAACTTGATCTCTTTATTAGCAGCGATAATACACATGCATACAGTAGATCAGTTACTGTAGGTGTTGCATGGTGTCTTTATTCTGATTTCTTCAATTCGAACCCTCTTTCAGCTGTTGGCCAGATATTAAGGTATTTCTCTACATTAGCAAGTTGGAAGTAATCCAATTTTCTGATGTTACAGGTGCCAGAGTGAGAATGCCCATAAGGACTTTAAGAAAGCTGTGGGAGCCTGTCGCATCTCATACTGCCCCGAGACCAGTCAGCTAGTGATTGTGGTAACTTGCTTGTTTTAATTCTGTGGTGACATTTGGATACATGTAATGGCATCTATGCTCCTGCATAATATGTTACACCTTTGTTATGCTCAGCATGCCTGTGTTGTGGATGACTCAGCTATTCCTTTATACCATTCATCATCAACAAAGCAGCTCTGCATAGTTGCATAATTCTTTAATTTAATTTGTGTTTGTGTGTTAAGTCTACCAATGAGTCAACGGTGAAGCGTGTGTCTTTGCTGAGTGACATGCACCTGCGGAGCCTGAGAACCAAACTGCTTTTAATGTCACGCAACCAGGAGGCCACAAAGCACCTGGAGGTAAGTTGGTAACAAAAACGATTTACTGCAGTGATCTGGAGATCATGTGCTGCGTGCAGTGTAGTACCTTCAGAAAGGAGTCAACGTGCATCGTCAGTAGGTCAGTCAGTAACCATGGTAACATAAAGCATGGTTGTTAACCATATAATAGTATCACATAAAGTTACCCGAAACAACAAAGAAACTGAACTTTCTTTAAGAGCTTTTAGGGTGTGGCTCTTAGTATTGTAGTGTACCAATTATATTTGAATAATTGGAAGTTGTGTCATCCTACCTCTGCATGGTACAACTTTTAATGTTTGATTATAAAATGAAAGGAGAGTCTGTGGTAAAAATACTGTGGTGGGCCAAATGAAGTTTCTGATAGTTGTACAGAAATAATACATTATGGTAATTGGAGTTACACAAAGAGGAAACAATATGTAGTGTTGGCACTTTTCTTGTGTTTTTACTATCCTGTCGACAGAGCATTGTTTAGATGAATAGCATTATCAACCAGTATTAGACTTGTTTTTGGCCAGTTTTTGCAAGGAATTTAAGCTTTAGCAAGAACAATGAATGTTTATGGATAGAAAACTAACCACAATTAAGATTAACATAAATGTGACTGCCTCCCTATGTTTGTGTAGAACTCCAGGCACCTGGTATCATCCTTCCAGGAGGAGTTTATGGTGAGACCGGATCTGATGGGCTTGGCCATCGGAAGCCACGGCAGCAACATCCAGCAAGCACGGAAGATTCCAGGCGTCACTGCCATTGAGCTGGATGAAGAGACGGGCACTTTCAGGATTTATGGAGAGGTACGTTGTTGTGTGGCCCTCAACCAAAGACAAAAAATGTATCACCAAGATCAAAGTCCAAAACACAGAAAATGTTCAATCATTGGAAATCAAAAGATATTTCCTCTTATTTCATTTGATTTGACAGATGTGCACACAGCAGAAATGTTTACAGATATTTCAGCTATTTCAGTTTTCTGATTGGGTTCTTCCAACTTTGTTTCAGCAACAGTGGGCATCAGTTTACATACAAACAAGCTTGTCAGGTAGTTACAGGAAATTAGAGGTGTCCTCAGTTGGCATGGGCACTGTAACAAATACATGATATTTTCTTTGTAGTACAGGTTATATATGACTTAATATGAAAAAAATGACCTTATATAAATGTCTTAGCAGCTTTTCATGAATGGCTCCTTTGCGTTGTCATTTTCACTGTGGATGCATTTGTTGATATTATTGGTGGCCATTGTATGGTTGCTACGACGTGACTGGATTCTGAACCTGACTGTGCTAATTGCATGCAAAACTGTGTTGTCCTTTAGACTGCAGAGGCAGTTAAGAAGGCCAGGAGCTACTTGGAGTTTCTGGAGGATTCTGTCCAGGTGCCGAGGAACCTTGTTGGTATGAAGACACAAACATTTCCTGAGTTTTAAAATTCTAAAAACCTGCTGTAAAACAATTGGAATGCTAAGCTGGTAATTGGTACACTGTACAGTTATGTACGATATATTACAAGACAGTCATCTCTTATTTCTTACAGTATTTGTGTAACTTAAAAGTTAAATTAAATCCTTAACGAGGCAAAAATAAATATATACATAAAAAAAAACTTTCATGTATTCAGTTCAGTTTTATTTATATAGTGCCGATTCACAATATATGTCATCTGTTACATTACCCATAGTAAGGTAAAGACCTTATAAATTTTAAACAGAGAACCCAACAAATCCAAAGTTTCCTTTGAGATTGTTTTGAGCAAGCACTTGAAGACAGTGGTAGGGAAGAAAAAACCTCCCCTTGTGGTTATTCACTCCATCTCTGAGTTTCAAGTTTTTGACTTAAACTGCTTCTGCTACTTTGCATCTTTCCCTGCTCTGTGTCTCCAGGCAAAGTGATCGGCAAGAACGGTAAGGTCATCCAGGAGATTGTGGACAAATCTGGTGTGGTGAGGGTCCGGATAGAAGGAGACAATGATAACAAGCAGCCCAGACAGGAAGTAAGCCTGCCACTGCGATGTGTTTACTGCTAGCAATAAAGCACTGATTCGTGTCACAAATGTTTCTAACTCTGCATAGAGGAATTGCACTTTGTGTCTTGCTTCAGACAGTCCCATACTAACATGTGTGTTGTGTTTTTGTGTTTTGTTGACACAGGGAATGGTCCCATTCACCTTTGTCGGTACTAAGGAGAGTATTGGCAATGTTCAGGTCTTGTTGGAGTACCACATCTCTTACCTCAATGTAAGGCCACAACTGTGTGTGTGAGTTGAATTGGGGAAGTGGCTTGTTCTTGATGCATGTTTGTCAGCGTGTCCTCCAAGTCTTCTCTTTCACTCAGTGCCACAGCATCAATTTACAGCTGTCTCAGGCTGCCTTTGAATGCCCCTCCTGGCTAATCACTTTGCCATTCATGAGGCTGAACTGACTCTACTTGGCTGTCAGCATGTAAACAGTGCTTCATAAGTATTGCTAAAGCAACATTGCTTTGAGTGCTAGTGTGATGCTTCATGAGGAAGTATGTGAAACCAATCAGGAAACGTATATAATTTAATATGAGTCACAAACACAGCACAATGCAGGATATGTCTGTATGCAGTAAATACAAAGGTTATGAAGGTTTGTGGTAGTTATAGCGGCGATGTCTGATATGACCTTCTTACAGCATTGATCACCTGGATCAGCACCTCAGTCACAGTCTACATTATTATTTGTGGATGTCAAGTAATTAATTTAGTGAAAACTTTGCTTTTCTGTGGTGTATATCTTGCTGTGTATACATTTTGCACTGTGTATGTATGTCTGTGTCCTGTGTTTGCATGTTTTGTGCTGTGTTAGTGCTTCATGCATGTTTGTTTTGCACTGTGTGTAGGACATGTTGGAGCTGCTTGTGGAGGGCCAGCAGCTAGAGGAAGAGCTGAGGCAGATTGTGGATTATACACAGGGAAGGAGCCTAGCAAGATTGAACATAAGAAACACGAGGAGCACTGGATGTTATTTAGATGTTTGTATAATGATGACTCGTGCATCTAATGGCGTTTCCAAAGAAGCAACCAAAAACAAAAGATCTCAGATTTGCTTGATTTTCCGAGACACCAATAATGTAGAGTCACATTTTATGTTCCTTGCTTTTCCTTTTGCCTTATTTCGTTTTCTTTATTCTTACCATCTCTTCTTCCTTTCCAGGAGGTTGAGCAGCTTCGTCTGGAGCGGCTGCAGATTGACGAACAGTTACGTCAAATCACCCAGGGTCACCGACCAGTTGACAGGGAGAGAGGAGAGAGGGGGGAGAGAGGAGGAGGATATAATACTGACAGCAGTGCCAATGCCTCTTCATCCTCCGTACATGTCAGTCGCTCCTACAACGGTCGAGGCCGTGGGCGCAGAGGCCACAGCTACAGCACTGGATATGGTTGGTGCCTTTAAAAATCACATACCACTAAATCTGCTTGTTTGTTGCCACATACTTTGGTGTTTGCATAAGAATTTGCCATTTGTGCAAGAAATCAGAAGCAACATGGTGTCGGAGTTAAAGTATCTGGACACAAATAAGATTCCCAGTAATAATTATTTACCCCTATGACAGATGCTGTTTTGTCCTTGTTGTGTCTCTCTCTGTTCTACCCTTTGTGCGTCTGCTAAGGCACCAACTCAGAGCAGTCCAATGCCTCTGAGACCGATTCAGAGCGCAGGGATGAGCTGAGTGACTGGTCACTGGCTGGAGAGGACCACGACAGGTAGCTTTGTTAGATTTTCAGACCCAAAGATGTACAAAAGAAATGTAGTTTTTGTGTTGTCAGTGGTAGCTGCATTGTCTCTGCAGTCCTTGTCTAAGATGATGCCAGCTTTTTGTAATCTGTTCCATTTTGTCTGATGGACTTGCAGGGACAGAGATAGAGGCGCACGGCCACAAAGAGATGGCCGCAGGAGACCAGGACCCGGCAGAGGCCGAGGCGGGCCTGGGGGAAGGGGAAGAGGAGGAAGAGGAGGATACAGTTCTGGTACAATTCAGCTTTAAAAGACACACCCCACACACAACTTTGTGCTTTTTTAAATTGAAACATACATCTAAACATGACCTGTTCTTTGTGAATCTGATTCTAACTGCAGCAGGGCATCGGGACCATGACGACAACCACGCCTATGGAGTCTTGGAGACCAACACGGAGACAGACCAGACGGCCGATACCGATGCCAGTGAGTCCAACCTGCCTGCGAACCGCCGTCGAAGGTCTCGGCGACGCAGAACAGATGAGGATGCCACACTGATGGACGGCATGAGCGAGTCCGATAACGCCTCAGTGAGCGAAAATGGAATAGGTATGGAAGTCACTGGATTTGGCGACATCACTTTACAAGACTTCTTCAGTAGTCCAGACAAACAGTGCATACAGGTTAAAAGTATTTTTGGAACACAGTAGTGAAGAAAATAGTCAGCCGACTGCTGTTTTTAGCTGCTGTGCAGCGGTGCATCATTTCCTTTTCTAAATGTCAAAGAAACCAGTGCACTTCAAAGATTACACCTCTGATTTAAAAGCAATTTAAGCCCCCAATACCTCTTTTTGTGATGACCTAACACCCATAGATGACTCTGAAGCTAAACCTCAGCGTCGTAATCGTAGCCGACGTCGCCGCATCCGCCTGCCTGAGGAGAGGCAGCCAGGTAACCATGGGAACCACTAGCATGATCTCACCAGTCATTGCTCTGAATGGCTTAGCTAAAAAGTTGTGCACTGGGTTTCATGCTTGTGCGTGACTAGGAACATATTAAATAAAACCTTGCAGCTGAGTGCGGCTTGTTGGTTGACAGTCATAAGAATTGTCATCTTAATACTGTAAAACACAGATTTCTATTAAGGTAGCTACATTTGAGTGTCTACACTCGGTTGTTGCGCATGGACTAAGTATGCATTCTCCTTGTGTCTTGTGGTCTTTAATGGGCACAAAACCTTACTAATAACTGATGGCTACAACTTGTTTTTGTGTTGTCAGGCTGTCATTTACAAAAGTTGCATTCCAACTCTGTGGATCTCTGTGTGGTGTAACAGAGTTAACCTGACTAACACGTTTTTTGTAATCTTGTTAGGTTTAAAATTCCTAGAAAGTGTCTCTCAGGCTCTTAGGGTACAATTGTTTGACTGAAAACTGACACTTGCTTTCTACAGTGATTGCTCGTGTATTCATGTGTTCCAACATTTTCTGTGTTTCACTAATCATCAGGAATTGTGGGATGTGCAGTTGAAATTTAGATTAAGTTCTGAATATCTGGGACAAATTTGCTGAGCATTTGTAATGAAAACGCTCTAGGTCACCACCAGCTGAAGTCTTCTTCTGTTACCAATGTTTTCTGTTGTTTTTCTTTGCTGTCGTATCTGTACAGTGACTGTAGCTGACTACATATCCAGGGCTGAATCTCAGAGCAGACAGATGACCACCAAGGACACCAAGAAAAACAAGGATGTGGTCAGTACTTCTATTTGATGAGTTTACAAAGTGTTGGCAGACCACAGCTCGCCTTCGTGACTTTGAATACTGACTGCTCAAGAACCTAGCAATCACTTATTAAACCAGATTTATCTTGATTTATGTTTAATAAGTGGTGTTTTTGGCCAATTAAAGCTAGAGTAGGAAGAATTTTTTGGCATTGTCACTCAAAAATTCCATGCTAATCTTTCGGCATTGTAGCTTGCATATGTAGCGTTAATTGGCCCGAGCCTCTGTGGTGGAAAAGGATTTGAACAGAGAGGACAGTGAAGAGCTGCAGGAGAATCAATATACAGTCGTGACTTGATAATCCAACCCTTAACAATCTGAAAACCTTGCTATCCGACAGGTTTTGAGGAAAAACAAATGGGACCCATTAAAAATAGCCTTAACATGCCAACAGCCTTGGATTCTGACTCCAACATGACATTTTATGTCACAAATAAGGATACCAACGTGTTTTCTGACTTAACAATCCGACAGACTGCAGGACTTGATGCTCAATTCGGATTTTTTTGTGAGTTTGTTCACATTTCCAATTAAATACGACTTGTATGTGATCTGCTGTGTGAATTTCATACGACCCAAAAGTGTCCCGCATGCGCAGAAGAGGACACAACGACGTCACATGCAGTGAGCATGCTCAGTGTTTGCAGAAGTAAACACTGATGGTAATGATGGAGCGTATCTTGCCCGCCACTCCCCCACCACCGCCGCCACCGATGATGGAAACGGAACTGTGACTGCTAACTAAACCGGCATCAGCAGCCAAATACTGTCTGTGTGTTCCAGCCACTTCCACCTCCGGGGGTGCGCTCCGACGGGGTGGAAGTGGTCGGAACGTGCACAATTGCACCGGTCATTTGACGTGAAATCCAGCGATGCGTAGTGTTCTAACAATACACTAGTTATTATAACAACTATAAACAATAAATATTAACAACAAATTACCCTTCAAGCGTGAAGCCCTCCTTGTATCTTGACCTCCGTCTTGACAATCCGACAGCCTTGCTATCCGACATAAAAGAAGGTTTTACATTTAGTGTCGGATTATCGAGTCACGACTATATTTGTGCTTTTTTTTGTTTTTGCTAGATTTCAGCATTGTGCAGCTGTAATGTCAAATTAGATTGACACATTAGAATTACATCATCTTCCTCTGATTGTCTCTCTTTTATATTCAGAGTCAGGTAGATGTCATCGCTGAGCACAGCCCACAGCCTGCCCCGGCAACCACCAATGGTTCCAGCAACAGTGCTGCTGACGGCGAGGGCAACAACGGCACAAGTGCTCCCAGGTCTCCCACCGAAAGGCCTGCCAAAGTCTCCTACAAGGAGGACTCCGACCCACAACCTGTTGTTAACGGGCTCTCTTAGTCAGATTTGTCAAAGAAAATGGTTTCAAATATTCTTTGGCTGCACTCGATTGAATCTCCATGACTCGGGAGCAGCCTCAAAAGAGAATCTTAACATTTAAATACAACAAGCACTGTTCTTTTTTACTTTACAAATATTTGAAACCTGTTTCGCTGTGCAAGTTTTAGAGGTCTAAACCTTAACCTTCCCTTTACATGTGTTCTGTCCAACTATCCATTTTACTACAGTTCTTCTTCTTCTTCTTCTTCTTCCTTTTTTTTTTTACCATAGTTCTTCCTGTATGAGCTTGCCAAAGATAGTCAAACATACACAGACTTACAGACATGTACATGAACTGTACTTTTCAGTCCTCTCTCCATTTAACAGTCTGGGTTGGACTGAACACAGTATTTATACATACAATGCAGACAGGGATTCCACTCAAACCCATACTGTGGTATGAATGCAGCAGTACTTTTTTTATGGTGAACAAAAAAAACGTCATAGCAGGGGTTTAGAACAAAACAACGCCTGCCTTCTACCAGGTGGACTCAGAAAGATGCTTCCACTACCTTTTGTTCAGGATGTTTTGTGCATCTGAAGTAGTTTGTAAATTAGATGTTCTGCATGAGCAGTACCACGGTGCAGATAGGTTTCTTGGAATCCCAGGTATGTTTGACATACATGTGATCAGCTGTTGTGCCTTGAGAGTAGATTCAACATGTTGTTGCCTGGCTCTGCACACCATCTGAAATCCTTTCACTTATTTCTGTGTTACCCGTTTGCCTTCATCTGCTGCAGGTGAAGCATATAAGGTGTCTCCATGTGCTAAATGTGTGTACTGTGTGCAGCTGAAGGCAAACACTGAATGCCCTAAAAGGATTTCAGAGGCATCTTTTTAAAATCAGGTGTGTCTTGTTCTTAATGTTGTGGGGAAGGGGGGGATGAATCCAGTTATCCTTTATATATATCTGTTGAGGAGTTTGACATTAGCTGCTTCCTGTTTTTCAATATGCAACCACTTCAGTCATAGAAGAAATGTTATTACAGCGTGTCTGGAAGAGAAACAAACAATAGAGGAGTTGTTTTCTTTGCACTGAAATGTAACCTTTTTCTGTTAAAGAGCTGATTGTAGTTGAGTCTGGAAACTGGCCCGTTACTGTTTAGTGCTGGACAGAAATGTAGCCGTCAGCGCTGGGTTTCCTGGGAACATCTCATTACTAAACATCGGGAAGGTTCATCTTAAGTTCTGTTTTGTTTTCCTCCCCAGGAAATTGTTGTACATCAACAGATTCAAAGCATGTTTGCCGTATTCACTTTTACACGCCCGCTATTGCAGAGGTTCCGTAAGAACCCGATAACGCTGGTGTTGAGATGTTTCTAGAAAACCAGGCCCAGGTGACGACGATGTCATTTTCATGGTTCTTCCATACTGGCTGGCTGGAAACTGGTCACGACTGTTCCACTAAGGAAGGAGATTTATTTGGTTTATTTATTTTTAAAAAATGTACAGTATTTAAAAAAAAAAAAAAAAGTCTTCTTTTTCTTGACACTAAAAATATGCGTTACCGGGAGGTTTTCTTTTGAGAAAAATGACAATTTGGACTACTGAGAGTTGTGACATCCCACGTGTTTTTGTTGGGTCAACTACAGTATATTGTTTTTTTTTTTAAGGATCGTCTGGTTGGTTGATGTGCAATATGTTTTGTATGCAGGTAGTTCTTAAATAAACTTGATCTTCCATGTAGATCTAAAACCAACCTGTCTGTCTCACTACTGAACAATAACATCGCATCATGTTCGGCAGAAATGGCGCTCTGTTGGAGAACTGAATTTTTATCTGTCTGACTTTATGGTTCTCCAAATGTGATGATAAGTTTAGAAGAGTAGTTTTTGTGAAACTATTTTTGTCATTTTGCAGCTTACCCACGAAACCATAACATTTAACAAAAGAACTGTTAAATCCGAGCATTGGCCACATATATCTGTTTTTGAAGTTACTGGGAGCAGGACCTCATTGTTACCATTAGCTCTCATCATTTGCAAAACCTGTCAGTGTTCTAAACCTCCACATTGCATGTTAGGTCATGCATTCATGCTCACGGAATATAGGTTTTGTTGGTGGTGATGGGTATCAGCATTTCTTCTCTAGATTTATATTGCCTCTATACGCATTAAAAAAAATGACACAATGGCACAAATTATTCCACTCAAAGCTGCATATTCAGTTTTTTTTTCTTTAAAAGGCTTGGCTGGATCAGGTTTCTGCTAATTAAAGCTGAATGATTTTGGGTAACTGTAATTCCACAGACAGATATTCCAATTGCAATGTGATTTGTAATATAATTTTCTTAAAGTCAAATTTCAGTTCAGTATTCAGTGTAGTAGATTTAAATTTAGCAAAAGTGCATATGAGGCAGTCTGAGTTATTAGAGCAAAATTCACAGCAAATAAAAGCTCTTTAATTGTATAGGAATGTCAGCAATGTTTTAAAGTCCCTCCTGATTATTGATTTAACCCCTAAAAACTCATATTTGTGTATCAAAGTTACATGTTTAGTTTTTTTTCCCCCATTAATATAATCCATTCCTTCCTTAAAATGGCTTAGATTTCATTCATGGTAGCTCAAGCACACCAGCTCCCCTTTGACTCTGCTCAAACGCTATCAAACTACTCTGTGTTATACGTTTTCAAGTTGTACTATTGGAATAGTGGAAACCAATTCTGATTCTAAAGAATAATAAGTAAGCACCACCCAGCAAGCTGACAGGATTGGTTGTTGAGTATGGTTACATAAAAAAAAAAAAGTATGAATCTGTAGTTTCAACCATAGACTGTATAAAAGATGGACGTAGCAACCGGCCCTGAAAAATGAAGCCAACCCGAAAGTGTCAAAAACCTGCAATATCCCTACGTCCGCTAGTTGCTGGCTCCAAAACGCCCTGGCTCCCATAGACTTGAATTGGAAAAGTGATCACAGATCATGAAATACCGCATTCCTACAGCTCAGGATTTTTGTCTTATTAGTTTTCATGGTCAAATCCAGAGATCAGGTGGCAAAGAGAGCCTGCCTCTCAATCCGTCTGACCAATCACTGCTCCTATGGTTCCGCCCCCCTCCGACGATTTTTGCATCACTGGCTCCAAAAATCCAAGATGTCAACCAGGAAGTAGCAAAACCCTGGCTTCATTTTCTCAGTGCAGAAACCAAGGGGTGACATCACGGTAGCTACGTCCATCTTTTACACAGTCTATGGTTTCAAGACAGAAATACTTAGCCATGATGTTGACTACTTATTTAACTAATGAGGTGTCTTCTAGCATATGGAAACACCATATGGACATTTTAACAAGGTGAAAAAAAAAAAAAAACAACCGGGAAAAATCTTGATAAAACACACTTGTAAAAAATGTGAGACAGTTAAATTCTCATCAAGTGGGAAATTTTAGAAACAAACCTGATCCAAAATACGAGTTAATAATGGTGGAAGATTCCATTGTCGGTTTGTACAGTGTGATTTTATTTGAGAACAGTTAGAAAACAACACGTGCCTCCTCAAATCAGTCAGTGCAACAATATGAAGTAGAGCAGGGTGAAGTCGGCGTCTTCACCTCTATTTCTTGGTCTGGCCGTCCATCAGGTCCTTTGCTTCATTTATTTTTGCTGCTAGGTAAGGAGACCCACCTGTAACACACACACACAGAGGGTTAGGGTTAAAGTGGAAATTTTGCTTTAAACTACACATACCATACCACAGCTAGAAGACAGTACTGAATTTAACATTATACATTTGCATAGTTCGTATTTTGAGTGACAAGCTCTCTCTAACCAGCAAAGTAACACTTTGACCAAAGCAGATACAGTCGTCCTCAAATGTATTCATACCCTTCCATTAAAGAAAAGGCAAATTTTACAATCGTTTCTCAAATAACTAGAAACTGAAAAAAAAGTACAAATTAGAGCACTTTGCTGATGAGCAGTGGGACAAAATCAAAATACCTGTCAACAGGTGCAGAAGTCTGATTGAGAGTTACAGAAAACACTTGAATGAAGTGGTCGGCTCAAAGAGTTGTTCAAGAAAATATTAGTTTATGGGTCCCATCATGCTTTTTTTTTTTTTTTTTTTTAAAATTTCTGTTGAACCACAATTCAAAAGCAATGTCATGATTTCCATTAAATAAAGGAAATAAAAACAAAAAAACAACAACTTTGGCCATCTTCAGCAAAAAAAATGGAGAGAATTTGTGAGAACTCATTCAAAAAAGGTGCTTCCATCCGCATTTATGCACATTACCTCTTTTTTTAAAAGTCAAAAACCACCTCAAGCAACTGCAAAACCGTTTTTGTGGAATCAGTAAGTTAAATAAGTTTACATAGTTTTCAATTTCCCATACACTTTTTCTAAGGTCATAGTTCAAATGTACATAAAAACACAACATAGAAAGCTTCTTACATGACAACAACTGCTGCCTGTCCCTGTCATACACAACAAAACATGATTATCTTGCTTGGGTCTTAGGCTGTGTGGTTGGACAGAACAAGACTTCTGATGATGATGTCGTGTTGAACTCTGGAGGGTTGCGATCAACATTATTTCACTATTTTTGGACATTTATATACAAAAGATTAATCTGTCAAAATAACTGGTCCATTACTTAAACAAAGGAGAATATTTAAATCTTCCACTCACCTCTATCTGGATGGTTCAGGATCATCAGTTTTCTATGGGCTTCTCTGATCTTACTTTTGTTGGCTGTGGGACTGAAAGACAGAAAAGTGGCACAAGAGTGAATTATTATGATGAGAAACAGTGGAAATAGTAACGGCTGTCTGCTGTAGTGGAGAGACAGATGACTGCAAGACAGTTTACTGTGCAGCACAAGACCTAATCCAGAAATGTACTGTATGTCTGATCCTGGATGTACAGTACCACATCACAGGTGGACTCAACTGTGAAACAGTGCTATGTGGTGGACAGATATGAGAAGTGTGTCCACATACCTGACACCTAAAACCAGGGAAGCTTCTCTCTTTGTCATCTTTGGCTCAAATCCACCTCTATAGTACCCTCCTCCGAAAGCCTGTAAACACATGGTCAGCGGAGAATGAGGTTGATGAAGTAACGAAAACAAAATGCTGATTAAAAGTGCAGATCAAGATCTATCTGCTTTGTTGACATACTTGAAGCACACATCAAACTGCTATGTACAGAGTTATCAGGCATCATCAAGCATATTTTCCTTCTTACTGTTTTGGGGAAGCTCTGAAGGGCCTGTTTCACTTGAGGCTCCATCTGCTTCATGGCCTGCATGGCATACCGGCCTGGTGGATGAAGAGGAGGGGATGCATGCAGAGTGGGAGGAGAAAGTCACTTTAACTCAGCTGATATAAAAACTTGTTGATTCTTCTGGTAATGGCTGTATGGTTACTAGTAAGGATAAAATGAATCTTAAGGCATCTTTCCAACATCAATATTATTGTATGGCAAAGAAATGGAAAATCATATGTACAGTGGTGTAGGAATGCTTTCATAATTAAATTGTAGTTTTTTTTGTTGTTGTTTTGTTTTGTTTTTTTTTTACTGACAAGTGTCACAAAACTGTGAAAACTACAAAACAACAGATGTGGTTTTTCAGGGCTGATACTGACACTGAGTCATGATCAAGGAGACTGAAAACCAATAAACATTTGCCAAAAAAATTTAAATCTTGGTGTCAAAATTCTGAATACTACAAACTCCAACACCTTTTTAAATGTATGTTTATTTGATTTCATTCAAGAGAACTTTTAACAATTATCCTGCAGTATTAACTGTTACTCATGATGTGTAACCAGTCAGATAGTGCTGCGGGTGGGCCAGTACTTGAGACAACAGATTGGTGACTACAGGCCCAATCCCAGTCTCCACCTCAAGGCCTAAGAACTAAACCCTTACAGACTTAACGGACATCACAGCTGTAGTGCTTTTGACCATGTGAGTTCATAAGGGCTTGAAATGGTAATAAAAAGAAGAAAGGGACACACTGTCATGGCAGCGCATGTTGCTTTGAAACATCCATCCATTCATTATCTATACACTGCTTAATCCTCACGAGTGTCACAGGAGGCTGGAGTCTATCCCAGCTGATTTATGGGGTGAAGGCAGGGGACACCCTGGACAGGTCACCAGTCTATCACAGGGCTACACTTAGAGACAGACAACCAAGCACACTCATATTCACACCGATGGACAATTTAGAATCACCAATTAACCTCAACATGTTTTTGGACCTTGTGGGAGGAAGCTGGAGAACCCGGAGAGAACCCACGCTGCACGGGGAGAACATGCAAACTCCACGCAGAAAGATCCCGGGCGTCCTCACGAGGCAACAGTGCTAAACAACTGTGCCTCCTTGCAGCCTTGCTTTGAAACATCTCTATTAAATATATATATACATTCAGTAGATTTTTTCCTTGTTCAAAGTACAAAAATTGAAGCAGATTTCTTCCCGGCACCATCATGCTTACTTTGTGTACATTTTGTGTGAGGAAATAACCCCACATTTATACACTAATTCTCAACGAGCAAGTGACTCAGGAAAGTTTGTGGATATGTGGACTCTGAAAAAAGAGCACATAATAGCGTTGAAACGTACACATCGTAGCCCTCATGCGGTCCTCATGCACCTCACAAGAATGTGCCTCAATGTCTGGGAAGGTGGAAATTTGGACTGTGCCATAAATAGAGGTATCCAAGCCAAACCGCATTTTCAAAATATTT